GTTGATTGTCAATAAATAAAAAGAGGAAATCTAAATTCAAGTCAAGTTCTGGTTTCTAATGTAAATACTATTATTAACAAAGAATCTTTTTCAACAATCATTTCTTGATTTATTTCGATTATAGTTCTGTTTGCTAATAAAACAGTTTTTCGTACATCTATTATCGTTATCGGCGCTATAAGTTGTGGAGCAAAGAACACAATTAAATACTTTATAAAAATTATATTGAGTGGAAGCTGAAGGTAAGGTGGTTGGTGAAAGAATCTATAGATGACATTCGTAATTCTGTTAAAATCGATGCAAAAAAATTTATCAGTCAACGCTTCAATTCTATCGTGGATTAATTATGAATAAAAGAATGGAATTCATATGGTTTAGCTTGGTACGATTAATTAGATGAAGTTAATTTAAAAGTATATGAATTAATAAAAGTATCTTTTACGCCAATCAAATATATCCATCTCTCAACTTTTAAATGACTTCAACTTCTAGATATTTTGATAAAGAAATAGTTGGATTCGTTCTTAAGTTAAAGTTGAAGTTATACACTGTAAATTATAAAAAACAATTGACATGTACTGTATATATATATTATGTGTCATAAATCTTATCTTATTAACGTGCAGCCAAGTTTCAAATGAATAAATACATATCATTTTCATAATAAATCTTGAGTATGCATTGATGACACGTGAAAAGTTTATTTTTTAACTACACCAAAAACTTCAGTTTCTTTAATCAATAATTTATCTAATAATCAAATAAATAATTATATGATAAAATTCCTCGTAAATATAGTTGTCAATAATTGAATCAAATAGTTGAAAATCCAAAAATATTTCATCATAATTCTCATAATTACAAATATTTTTTGAAGGTTACTCTGTCAATTTTCATACAATTTACATCTTGATCATTTTCAAAAAAAAGATAAAACTACTTGAATAAGATAACTATTTCTCACTTCTAAATCCATTCCATAACCACCATAGATTTTGTTTGAGTCAACTCTTACCAATACTACGAATGGTCCTGCTCCATCATTGTTATTGAATGTCGCAGAATCAAATCCATCTCGATTTTTAAATAAGTCAATTTAAACTTATAGTTGTAATTAGATGAATGAACATTCGAATCATTTCTATCGATCCAATTAGCTTAAATAGTCACAAGTTCTGGCTTATTATTGTCATTGCTGGGTTGATTGTTGATGATATTCGAGGTTTTATAGTCATCATTTTCAACAATGTATTTTTATAATAATATTCCCTTAATTTCTTCATAAATTTGTTTAGGGATAACGGCTTTATAAGGTCGGACTTGATCATAAGATTCAGCTCGAGAAATTTCCACCGAATAGGGGAATGAATTGACTTAACGTCTTCTTCATTGCATCGTAATTCTCTTGATTCCATTTAGTTCTATCACGTTCATATCCCAATCCAATTGTCTATTCAACACCTCACTGATTAAACCATCCCAGATATGAATTTCTTTGCCTTCTAAATCATCTCTTTCAAGCAAGCCAATAAGGATACCTTTGTCTAAGACGAAATTTCGTTGATTCCAACTATTACATTCTTCAATCAAGTAATCTAGGATATGTGCAAAAATTTCCTCAAGAAGCAATTCATCAGATGCATTTAACAATCCATACCTATCTGTTGGCCAGTTCACCTATGTAAATGTATATTTTTATAAAAAAAAAATATTAAACATTAATTTAACAAAATTATACATTTTCAAAAATAAAACGTAACGTACTTGAGAATCATATCAAAAACATTTGGAGTGATATTTTGTTACATGATTATATTATCCTTTTATGTAATCCAACTAGAAGAAGATCGCGCGCTTTAAATTCTTTTGTATTTTGATCTCACATTATAATCATTGAAGTCAGTCAATATCAAAGAGATCTTTTAAAAGACCAAAGTGACATTTAGGCATTTTGAAAATAATTTTATTTTTCGGTATCAGCCTAAGCATTTTAAGCATTTGTATCATTGTTGTACAAATTTTAAATTATGCATGAAAAAAATTCTTTATATAAAGCTGCAATTTTAAATAGTTGCTTAAAATTTTAGAAATTAAGTTAATTTATGCTCCTAACGTTGGACATGATTTTTATTTATTATTACGGTTTGTGAATCAATTCGAAAATGTAGCTCATTATGGGGAATTTTCTATAAAATAATCATTCTTTTTGATGCTTGATGTGTAGGGTCTCTTTGCATTTCATGTTTATCATTGAAATGAAAATATGGAACATTTATTTAAAAATGAGGGTCCTTGTTTATCTAGTGAATGTACAGTGGGTTATCAAAAGTCACCGGCACTTAAAGATTAGAAAATCGACGAAAGAAGCTATTTCAAATTAAACTTTTTATTTTATTAATTAAATCATCTTTGGTGCAAGAAGTTTAGTTGTGCATCATAACGAAATACACATATATTAAATTTTTATAATATCCAAACGGTAACAAATTTTATATTCATGTAACATTTTCACGTATTAATACAAGTTCTCAGTTATAATTAAAACATAAAAATATTCTAGTAATAATCTATTTTTTTCACCCCATATTTGTCACCATGTGTCACACCTTCCGCATTTCCATTTTTCCGGAGACAGAGAATTTTTTGTGGTGAAAAATATTTTTTCATGCCCTTATATGTTACCGGTCACATGTGTTAAATTTTACTTATAAACCTCGTTCGATCTCCATAAAAACAAGTTTTTTTTTTTTTTTTACAAATTTTCTCTGGCAAAACTTTTCTCGTCAAAACAGAGGCAATAATAACGATCGATACGTAATTACTGATGTTCATTAAGAAATTTCCGAAAGACAAATTCCAATATTTATCAAATATTCTTTATACGGAATTGAAATTAGTAAAATAGGTAATTTGAGGTTTGTCTCTATACCAGTGAAAATTATGCAAAACGTGAAGAACATACATTTTCTTCTCGACATTGGTTCTCCAACAACATTTTTTGTGAGGAGGTTTTAATTCATTTGAAATAATTCTTCTCATCCAGTGCTTATCACCTCTTTGTTCATATTTTCAAGAAGTTAATCTTCTTTGGACAGAATAACTTAATATCTTTAATTATATTCATTTCAATTCTTCCAATATTTTGAGATGATGATAGCATCGTAGCGAACTCTGTTTATAATGTCCTAATTCAGCAACTTCTCAAAGTAATTATTACCTATTCCAAATTCTACATCAGCACCACCGCAACATGTTTCTTCTCAGTTCCCTTAATGTGAAATAAGTTATTTTTTTTTAATAGGATTACTATTATATAGTCGTATGCAGCGCATATTGAAACAAGTTAAAGTATCAGTCACCAGAAATGTTATTCCGTTGATAGATACGGGAATTGAATAATATAACCAAATTAATGAATTTGATAAAGTTTACGGTAAAGCACCATCAAATTCTCAAACACAACAATCAATTGCTACATCTTCGAACTAAAGTGTAAAGTCAATCAAAATGTTGACAAAGGAGAGCAAGAAAACTCGACATCAAGAAATTCCCTACCTCTTTCATCGACTATAACTTTTAATAATGTTAATCTAAGAAGTTCGTCCGTTACAGATGATTCATAATCATATAATCATAATTGCTTACGCTCTAAACCGTTGAGTTAAGATTTTAGATTATTGAATTTTCGTGTTATTCTTTATAACCGAAAATACTTTTCAATTTTAGGACATCTATTGTACGTGGCGATGCAAAGTAAGATAAGTCTCTTTAACGGAATGGAAATTGAATTTTAAGAATTACGTAATAAAGTCATTAGAAAGATATTTCAGGTAAATACGAGCTTTAAAAAATAATTTACTTTGGCGTCATGATTTATAGTATTTGTTTAATTGCCAGGAATAAAACGATTCCCAAAGGGAAATATTGTATGTATTTAAATCGTAAAGAAAAAAGAATGCAAAAAGAAAAAATCTATTTTAATGGAAAAAATAAGATTCACTTGAAGTCAAATTAATCGAATACATTGCAAAATTAATTCGGAAAGCAGTAAACTTGAAAACAATTGCATGTACAGTAATTTGTTACTGTTTTACCTAATTATACACATTAATGTTTGAATGTAAAGTTATAGACCTTATAATAGGTAAACCATTGTGTTTCTACGGTCCTGTCGAAAGCCAACATCGAAACGTAAAAATTTTGACTTTTGTCATTTACTAAAATTTTATGAATTAAAATTAAAATTTATGAGACAGAACCTGCGATATCATGCTATTAATTTGGAATTTACAATTAATTTCTAGAATTGACTCCTTGTTCACATAAATATCACCATTTTAGAAAATAGGTAGTGGCAATAAATTAATATTTGATGTTTTTAATCGATATATTGATCTGCCACGGAAAAAATTCATTACAAACTGAAATACCAATTTCTAACTTGTTCTGTAACTAACTAATTACTTGTTTTAAAAAATTTATATACAATATATTTTAGAATGCACGTCAGAACTTAAGCACGTGACTTAAATTTTTAAAAAAAGGATAAAAATAAAGACAAATTAAGAAAACAAAGTGTTTTAGTTCGCTTTAAATAACCTAATTGCATTGCATATTTTATTTGCAACGCTCGCATGAATCGCATGAATATGAATTCCGAAATTGTATAATGAAACCTAGAAATGAAAACTTTTAAATGAAATATAGATTTATAAATTTTATCGATACATTTTCTCCGGAACATTATATTCGGAGTCATGTTTTCATTGTACAGAATTTGGCTTAAAATATATTTTACGCGAAATAATCTGATTCGAAAAATACAACAAGTTAAATTTACAACTGAACTTGAAACGGGAACATTAAAAGCATTCTTTAAATTAGAGTCCGTTTCAGACGCTCCTACATTAAAAGAATAAGTATCAATGTACAGTAGCCGAAGAAAGTATACACGATTTAATTTATTAACATGTATAAAAGTAGAAAGAATTATAATTCATCATATTAATTTAACGTTATTTTTTCATAAAACATAGTAGGGTGTGATGCGGTGTGATAAATAACAACCTAATCTGTATGACACCACTAACTAACCCTAAACTAATGCAACTACACATAAGTTTATATATATCATATGACCCGTGTTTCATACACCCCGTGTTTATTAAGAAATTTTCTTTAAAATTTCTATCTTTTAAGTTTTAACATAAAAACTAACTAAATCGCCTAATGCTTCTTCAGCTACTGTACAAGATTGAATCCAAAAGGCTTTTGTTGTATTCTGCTCTTTCGTTTATGAATTTATAAACAATTTGTTATATAAGCAGAAGGTTTTATTGAGAAAAATGAAGTAATGTTGACGCTAAATTTATTTATAATATCAAATTAATCAGTGTCGACTCAACGTCGGCGCTTTACACTTTCGCAATGTCAACATATAAACTAAATAAATGCGCAATTACGAAATTGAATAATAGAATATAAAAAAATAAACGAAGTTACAATGTTACAATAGCGAAAGCGAAAATATCGCGAAGGGATTAAAGGAAGGTTTTCAAGGTGTATATATGCAAATACAAGAAAGGAGAGAGACCCTGCCAACCTAGCATCGTGACCTTGACCTTGACAACTTGGAAAAATGATCTTCAAAGGACTAATGCAAAATCGAAATCAATTTCCGAGCGAAATTATATTTAATGTAACACATGTAAA